GATGGATGGATGGATGGATGGATGGATGGATGGATAGATAAATAGATAGATAGATATATAGATAGACAGATAGATAGATAGATGATTCTTTAAATCGGTGAAGGAAAGGGAATGAAGAGCTTCTCATCTCTCCTGCTGACGCTGATGAAATGGCTTTTGGAATCTCCCAATCTTCGGCGTCTTACTCAATCTTTTACGAAAGATCCATATCATCACTTTATGAGGCGGGTTTTAAACATTCAATTTTTAAAGTAGATGTTCTTGAAAAAAATGCAATGACAGATACGAAATAGAATGAATGATAGACTAGAAGACACACAATCAGACAGACACACAGACAGACAGAAAGGTACAATAAAAACAGACAAAAGAACTGGAAAATCGTGCCCAACGAGAAAGGAAAAAACAAAAATGAATACTGTCTAGACGGAGCTCAGAAGTTCTCCTAATTTTCAACCCAATTATTTGTCATTCTTCTTTTTATTCCTTAGATTGTCCGTCTCTTGGTCCAGAATTGTATAGATGTGAACCAGGCGCTCTACTTCCAAGGCCGTCCTCTGTTCACCACAGCTGCGCATGTGCGTGCAAATATTTTTGCTGTATCCTTGACCTCGATCACCATGTTTAGATGTGACAATCACATAATTTTCTCTCCGCGTCACTTTTTAAAATTTATCTACGTTTGTAATTGGATTTTTAAGCGGTGGTTTTCTTTCTTTATAACTCTTATATTTTTTTGGTTTATTCCTCAGCTTACGTTTCTGGGACCATTAAAGAAAGAAATTGGGTTTTATTAGGTTTATAATTGCTTCCGGATTGAGACAGTGCGAGGTGGCGTCTGTAGTTTAGTGGTTAGGTTACCAGTAATCGTGGCATTGCGGGTGCAAGGGTTCGAGCCTCAGCTCGGTCCGACGTTGCGTCCTTGGGAGAGGCATTTTACATGAATTTTGCCTTTTGGGTAGGTCCTATCGGAGACTGACGTTAAATTCGCAGGTCCCACCTTGTAAAATTACCTTAGAGTGTTGCAAGGGCTTTTTAACCTCAATACAATTTCGCAAAGAGTGCTAAAGAACTGTTACTCCTATATGGTCGCCTTTAAGCACAAGGGGGCTATCCTGAAAAATATGTTTTGGGAAATTCGAAGGTAAAGTTTTTGCCACTTGTTCCGTTTCTTTAAAAGGCAAGGACAGTTTTTATCTATATATTTAAACAAATATAAACTCCAATGAAACCAAACTTCTCCTATGGGTAGGGCAATACCCACGTTTG